AACCTTGAATTTTCCGAGTACACTCGACGGAGAAAGTACTGCCGCAGTGTACAAGTGCAATTCTGACAGACTTGGACTCGGTCCCTATACGTGGCACTCATCGGACGGTGCCAGCCCCAGCCAGCGGAAAGTTCGGGACCCCGAAATGTACCTAGTTAAAGTGCGGTTTTTGACAACGGGATGGTCAATGTAGTGTGGACCTGGGGAACGGGATGACGGCCTACAGGGAGCTGCTCGACTCTGCCGGGATCCCCTTCGGCAGCCTGGATCACACCCTCACACAGTCGGGCGGCAGGCACGCCTTCTTCAGCTACGAAAAGTCGGTGCGGGCGGGGCTGGCGATCGAGCCGTGGAAGGCGAATCAGATGAGCAACATGGTGAAGATGGTGCTGGACGGGCAGAGCGTGAGCATGGACCTTCGGGGCGACGGTGGTCTGATCATACTGCCCCCCACGTCGATCACCTTCAGCAAGACCACGGGCGAGACCCGGTACTACCAGGCCCTCCGGCCGATTCCGGGCAAGGGAGAGCTGCCCGCCATGCCGCCAGTGCTGATCGAGCTGCTGAACTCACAGGCCCCCGCTCAGAGGGAGGGCACGTGCCGGGGGCCGAGGCCAGCCAGTAGGGTTGCGAGAGGGGCTGGGGTTGCCCTCGGGGTCGAGGGTGAGACGGCGCGGCCGATCCCGGTGGCCGAGGGCGAGCTGTCCGCCTCGGTCGTGGCCCGGTTGGACGCTATCTTGAGTTGCCGGGGCAGCCGCTCTTACGTGTACTACAAGAGGGAGCGCATGGAGAGTGGCGAGTGGCGCTTCGAGTACAAGCCTCAGGGGGGGGTGGGTGTGCGGTCACGACGTGGCGCACAGGGGCAGCAACAGCGTTTCCTTCTATTACGATCCCCAGACGGACCGATTCACCGAGCGGTGCCACGGCGGGGTGTGCGACCGGCGTGCAAGGACGGAGTTGGAGGAGGATCCTGCGTTGGCGGGCATCGTCGTGGGGGAGTGTGGCATCGGGCCCGTCTCTGGAACGGACCAGAGCATCTACAAGCGGGTTCCGCTCGACATGGCGGCAAGGTACCTGTGGTTGTCTGCGGATGGCGGGTCGCGCCTCCTTCGAGCTCTCTACGCTGGGGATCCGCGCATCAAGTGGGTGGCGGGCAGCAGCAGCGGGAGCGGTGCCGGCTTTTACTTCTGGAACGCGCGGGTCTTCGAGAAGGACATCCCGGAGGCACAGGGCGGTATGGTGCACAACATCATAGCCGACCAGCTGACGCAAGCGACCGACCGGGCGTACAGGGAAGCGGCCAAGCTGGCGAAGGCGGCTGAGGAGGAGGGCGACGAGGATGCGGTGAAGCGGCTGGCAAAGCTGCTCCCGAAGAGGCGGCCCCGCTGGAATGGGGCCGGTGGCCCCGGTGGTGTGATCAAGTACGCCAGGCACCGCTTCTACGACCCGAATTCGCACGGGACTTGGACTACGTGAGCAAGTGGGCCCTGCCCGTCAAGAACGGGGTCATCGACCTGAAGGACGGCACGTTGAAACCTCATCACCCCCGGTACCTGTTCTCTTCTACGCTCGGGTCGGACTATCCTCGAGATGGCCTCCTGCACCCAACGCCGCTGGTCGACAAGATCTTGAGGGACGCGTGGATGGTGGACGTGTACCCGGAGCGGGCGGAGATCGTGTCCTACCTGCAGCGGGTACTGGGGTGAGCTCCTTCTGCAGCTGGTGTTCGGGCACGTGCATTCTGATGAAAACATCCGCACTGGTCTGCCATCGGGCGCCCGCTTCAAAATGGATATATTGACGACGACGGCGAATCTTCTTGCAGGTACTTGCTAACCGGCGACGTGGATGAGCGGGTCCTGGTGTACATATGTGGTCCTACAGCCTCCGGTAAGCCTGCACCTCATCGATATGCCCAGATCCGCAGGATGTAACCTGGAGTGAAAGAGGCGGGACAGCGAACCCGGGTGAACAGTGCTTAGCCCCCCCCTGCTGTGTCGTGCAGGCAAGGGGCTGCTGATGGAGGCTGTCAGAGACTTGCTGGGGTTGTTCTTCCTCCAAGGCAACAAGAGCCTCATCTTCAGGGCTGCGGGGCAGGGGGAGATCTCCAGGGGTGGTGCGAACACGGATTTGGCAGCTACGAAGAAGAAGCGCGTGGTGTTGATCGACGAGAGCGGCGCAATGGACCGGGTGGATGATGCAGGAGTGAAGTACATGACTGGGGGGGCGGACATAAACGCGAGGGATCTGTACGAGAGGGGTGCGGATGCGACTTTCAAGCCGACGGCCAAGGTTTGCCTTCGAAATCCTCTCCGACAATGATACGGGTTGTCGTGGATCAACGTCTTTTTCGAGAAGGGACGCTTCGCTACTCTAGAGCTTAGGCAACGGTGTTTCGAATGCATTGACTTCGCTTGAGTCCTTGTATTTTATCCGTGCAGATTGAGCGTCCTTGCGAAAGCCTTGGAAAGTATTTAGACCGCTGGATGAAGATCTTACGGGTTGGATCGCATCTTAGGGCGACCCACAGACTTGACCTTCGCAGAAAATCGCCTTTATAGTGGCGTTTCGACACCGTGCTCGACGTCCCATGAGCATACCGGGCACAAACCAAAATCGGAAACCCCGAATTAACGCAGCTTTGCTGGGGGACGGGTCGGAAAGATGGCTCCTGTTCTCTGATGAACGAGAGACCTGGTACTGGGCCTTTGAAGCCTTGTGTATGACGCGCTCGTGCTCGCTCTCTTTGCAGTTTGTGGTGACGTCCAATCGTCCGCCGCTTCTTGATTTTGCGGATGCTGCGATGGAGGATCGGCTGATATACTTCCCGTTGGAGCGTTCTTTCGTCAAGCGAGAGAATTACGTGGAAGGGGACCCGAGGATTCGTCCGAGGGATCTGACGTTGAAGGACCAGATGAAGACCCCCGAAGCGCAGCAGGAACTTCTGGTTTGGCTGGTGAACGGGCAAGTCACCAATTCGAAGAACGGTGGCATCGGGGACCAGCCCGCATATCTGAAGCAGTGCAAGCAGGAGCTGTATGCTAGTAACGACCCATTGGAGGTGTTCATAAAGTCGGAATGTGAGGTTGGACAGAGCTTCCTGATCCAAACCTCTGTCATGCACGCGGCATACAACGCGTATCTCAACCAAGAGCAGAAGGGGAAGTGCAAGCCGTCTGCCCTGACGAAGGATCTGAAGGCGAAGGGTTTTAACAAAGGGGAAAGGATCAGGCATCATGCTACGATGAACCAGTTCACGGCATACAAGGGTTTGCGATTGAAGAAAGAGAGTGTCTCTTGGGACATGGTGCAAGGAGTGTTTCTAGAAACAGATGACGAGCGAAGGGCTGGTCGCCGCTAGAAGCAGTTGAGAGAAGAATATATGGCGGATTCTCAGAAGCAGCCTAGATCGGACAGGTAGCGTGCAGGTATTGATAGTCAATGTCGTTATAGTAATTATTATCTGTCGAAGTGCTTGCCCAACCAGGAATGTCATACCAGCGTCACATTAGAGCATTGACAATACCTTCGCATCCTTGTAGTATGTCAACGCTAGTGGTCCACGGCCGAAGCCTGAGCAAGCATGTGTAGGATTGCAGATCGATAGCTCGGTTAGTATGTACATTAGTCAAACGTTCTAGCCTCGCTCAACCGGTATCCCCTCACATGAATACATCTACTTCTTGGCCCGCTTCAGACCTCTTGCATGCTGTATGTACGGTCTTTCCTGGCTGAGGAATGCCACCTTGTCTTGTACGACGAGGAGACCGACCGCTTCGTTATTATTAGGTCTCTTCCTTTTGTTCCTCTCCTCGCCTCCGAACTTCGCGTTTTTCCACTACTGCGCACGGTGTACTTGCCCCTGGGCCGTTAGTGGGGCGCTCTGTCTGGTTAGCTTCAGTGTGGGTTGAACAAGGGCGCGGTCGCATGTATTTCAATGCTTCAAGCAATCTAGGGTGCCTCTCGTCTGAGTCATGATTATGATACTCGATTCACATTGACAGTGAGTAGAATGATGTCTGATCAAGCGCCGCAGCCCGCTTGGTGCGCTCGCGCGTTCCCGGATAACCGTACTCATTGTCTTATTCAATGCAAGGGCACCGTCGACCTGAGGCTTTGAAAACCTCGAGATCGGTCCCGCCTGCATAATACTTTCGATCAAGATACTGACGGGGAACGAGTTTTCAAGTTTGTGCCGACACTCAAATCGAGTGGTGTGTAAAACATGCACTTTTAAGAACACTCTGGCTTTGTGGTCGTCGAGAATTGCAGCAGAGTCAAGCTACATCACGTTCCGGTCCGGGCCGTGAGTCTCTGGCACAGTCGAACCCATCCAGTGAAACTAAACCACCGAGTCAGACTCCTGTGGATGAAAATGCGTGCTGTTTTCGGACTTCTATTCGGTTCAAACACAAAATACTTCTCGTCCCAAAAACCCCCAGATGTCTGCGCGTCAAACTCAGTACACGCGGCGGATCAACTCTCGGCGGGTTGTTCTTCCAACTTTTACGGCACCAGGACCGTCCCGCAAGATTTGTGCGCTCTGCATTTCGCAGCAAACCGGAGCCGATTCAACCTCACTCGTAACATTCTCGAGCGTGCGCGCGATTCGCTTTCCGATTGAAGCAATCAGTTCCTACACTCTCAATGCTCTATCTGTACACGCAAGCTATTGTCCCCAAGAAGCGGCAGCACTTTCGCAAGGAGCATGGATGTATCAATGGGCTTCGTGAGGTAGACATCCATCCCGGCTTTGATGCACGCGCGCTGGTCGTCGCACGATGTGCCGGCCGTGAGCGCGACAATGATCACGTGGTCCCCCATCCCGCGCGCTCGCTCGAGGTCGCGCACCAGCCGCGTCGCCGCGAGACCGTCCATGACGGGCATCTGAAAGGCAAACACTGACGGTTTCGTCTAGCTCTTTAGCTTCTCAAAGGCTTGCGCGCCGAAGGCAGGAGGAGCTTGAAAACAACACGTCTGGCCTTTGACTCGGGTCAATAGTCCTGGCTTCGGTACTCTTCCAATAGCAGATTCCAGAACCGTGAATGAAAGAATCATCAAAATCAGGCTCCAGCTTGTCCGACAGCGATTTGGACATCAATCACCTCGTATCAAATTTTTGATGAAGCAATAGACAGCCTGTACTGTTGATTGTGCGGAACTCTCCCCGCGCTTGAGCGGCGCTCAAGACGCCCCAGGCTGCTTGCAAGTACTAAGCAGTTTGAAGCACGCATCGTCTGAAGGAAGAGTACCGAACCAAACACGAACCAGCATCGGGGCAACCGGTGAGACAGGTGTTCACCATGAAATCCATAAGCACGAAGTCATATCTCTCCTCGCCGGCCGCGGCCCGCCGCTCGATATCGTCCACGGCCAGCCGCCCATTCTCCACCGCGACGGCGCGCGCACCCAATTTCGCCATCGCCTGGACTGCGAGCTTCCGCAGAAGGACGTTATCCTCGGCGATTAGAACCGTCCGGCCTCTCAAAGGGAGGTTCAAACCCTCCGTTTGGGTCTTGGATTGAACGCTTAAAACCGCTGCTCTGTCCACCTGTTCAAATTCCGGTTCCTCCGCCAAGAACGCGTCCAGTCCATCTCGTCCCACGCGCGCGCACACGCCTCGACGTTTCGCCCCTTCCGCGCCCTCTCTGTCGACCCCTGCCACGGGATGCCCCGATTGCCCGGCCCGCGGCTCGTCTTCCTGCCTGAAGCTCTCTCCCGGGCTGCCGAGCGGCTTGGGGGATCCCGGTTCCGCCGTTGGGCCTGGTTCCGTTCCGGCCATCGTGTGCAGCAGGCGCTGCAGCTTGGATTCGTACAGTGGTTTGGTGGCGATCGCCAAGAAACCCGCCTTTCGCAGCGTGTCCCGGACGCAGACCGGCGTCGAAGCCTTCACCACCCATGCGACCGGTAGGTGCGCCCCGCCCTGAAGTCCTGCCCATAAAGAAGGTCGCGAACGTATGGTGAGCCATTTTAAAGAGGATGCTGACAATGAGGAAAGGCGAACGGAAGCCCGGAAGGCTTAGCGATGCACAGGCCGGTCGTTCGCCTATATTGATAGCATGTGGGGAGCTCGTGGCGTGCAGTGCCCTTGAGAGTCGAACAATAGCAAGGACGGCGCAAAATTATAGGTCGATGCAGATATCAAGAACGTGGTCAGCATCCAGATACTGATAAACACACTCGTCAGCACGAAATAGAGTAAGAGATTTCATCGAGCAAGCCCCCAGTCCGTTAGCGTCTTTTGTGTGACTGTTGTGTGACTGTTTGCTGCTGCTTATACATTTTATCTTACTTCATTTCAAATGATGAGAGGACAGAACCCGGGACGTGTGGAATGAAAGCACGAGATCAAATTGGTCAAGGGCTGACTGAAAGACGGTTCGGGATGTGTGGCCCGTTCCCCAAGGAGCCACTTTGACCACTCACTTCCCCCAATTTGAAGGGCATCGCTGTTTGACCCAGCTAGTTTCGTGAAGTTTGCACGATTCGCTCTGCAATCTTCACACTCCGCAAGGTGTGTCCGGAATCTATAACAAAAACAGGGCCAGCCGTCGTACCGGAATTCCCAAGGGCATGATGAACCTGCGCCAGGTATCCCTCCAACTCCTCCATGGTCAAGTCCGTCGGGAGAATGGAGACCGCAAGGATCGCACAGTCAACAACCTTGCAGCCCGCGGCAGCAGGCGGCGACCGCGGCCTGAAGGGTGTCTCAACGCCCGCAAAGCCCCCCCCCGGCGCAGAGAACCTATCCTTGCTGCGCACACTTTGTCCTGCTTCGAGATCTACTACCGCCGGCGCTTGTGATCGTTTCGCTGACGGAAACCGGCGGAATAACATGGACTGTGTGCGCCGGACTCTGATCGCCGGGGCTGGTGTCCCGCCCGGTTGGTGCGCGTCGCCGTACGCCCAGCTCTGCGAGAGAGCGCGCCCGGTGGCTAGCCCCGGGTCCCGCGAATGCTCCGCAAGGCTGCTCAGCGCTTCGATGACGTCACGCCAGCACAGTGCCTCCACCACCGTCGCGCCGTGCCGCCGCATGGACGCCGCCGAGAGCGACCGGGTGAGGAAGCTCGGGATGCCGAGCACCACGTTGAAGTGCACGGGGGGATTCCCCCGGGATATAGGCGGCGACAGCAGGGGCGGCCGCGCGGCCGCGAGGGCGAGGTCGAAGCGGAAGAGCGTCCCGGGGCCGACTTTGTCGGCGATTGCGATCGAGCCCCCCATCATTTCGACAAGATTTCTGACGATTCCCAAGCCAAGGCCGGTTCCCCCGTGCTCGCGCGTGGTGGACAATTCCGCCTGGGCGTAGTCCTGGAAAACGACAGCGCGCCTTTCCGGCGGAATGCCGCATCCGGAGTCCTCGAGTTCGAACCGCAGACGAACCAGTGGGCTCACTGATAGTGGGGAGGTCAAGGAATGGGAGGGGCTTCGCCCCGAGATGGACCAGCGAGGAGAGTCACGAGGGCTTTGGTTGTCGTTTTCCAAGTAGCAGCGGATGAGGATGTAGCCCCCCTGCCAAGAACAGGCGACAGTTGCGTTTGAAACCGGCTTATTTGCAATTGACAGGAGGAAAGCGACGAGACGGGAGATGCAGGGTGTCAATGTTTTTGAGAATGCAGCACGTTTTTGCAGTGCTCTTGAGAATCTGCAGAGAAGACTTGCATCGAGCATCTGTTGACTTGCCGCCTCGAAGTACATGTGAGCGCTTCAATTGGAGCCGCTGGTCAGGACTGGGGATGTCTGCTCTTAATTGCACTGAGCCGCTCCAAGTGTAATAAAGGTACATAATCAATCCCTAAAATCGATACTTTTCCAGCCTTCGAAATATTCCGTTGTGCTCGATCTTGAGAGGGTGCTTTAAGCCGCTATTATTCTGAAATTAGCCCTATTGTGATTGCTTTCTACAGCAAAGTATTTCAGAGCTAGTCCAGAACTGAAAAATGTGTTTAACAACTTAAAGCAGTCCGTTTGAATCGAAGAGACAGCGGCCGCTTGAAGCAACGCTGCAGCATTTCCAAGAGCAATTTGAAGAATCTCTATGGGCACACTCAAGGTTGTCCTCACAGAGTTTACGAGGGCGCGACATAATTACACCAGGCTGCGCAAATATGCTTCATAATTCTGCTGAATGACCCTGCAAGTGGTAAGCCTCTGCAAATGTAGTACGAAGCTCAAGAAGGGTAGATTACCTTTGTGAACTTGATGCTGTTGCTGAGAAGGTTCATGAAGATCTGGCGACAGCGCGTAGGGTCGCCACGAACTAGCGGGATAAGATCTGTAAGAGAACGAAGCGAATTCCTCATTTCCATCCTGAAGAGACTACAAATCTCTCCTGTAAGGGCAACTTGATTGACCTCGCAAAAACACGCCTCTCAACCCCTGGTACGTTTCTGAGTATCCTTGATCCTCTCAAGCCTTCCTCCATATCTCCTAATGTTCCCTAACGATGGTAAACCTTCTATGGAAGTTGCTCACGATCTCTGTAAAGTAACCAACACCTCATAGCTTCACATGAGGTCCAGAGCCTCCAAATTCTCAAGTTGCCAGCATGCCGAGGAAGGTATCCAATGAACATACTAGCAACCTGACCTTCAGCATACGCAGATAAAGATTGCCTTTACTCTTGAAAGCGCAGGGAAAAACATAGATACAGATCCTTCAACCGCGCTCTGGAAGTTACGGGTAACACAAGGTGAGAAGATGACAATTTTGAAACTTCCTCGGCTGATCCAAAGATGCCTAAAAGGCACATACCTGGCATGTCCAAACCGAGTTCGACACCTTTCATAGTGCACTGTACTGTAAAAACGTCCACCAAGGACTCCAGTAGATTGCTTAGGTCGAATTCCACGTGCTCCAGTTGCAGATGCCCAGCTTGAATCTGCACGTGATTCAAAATAGAGAGCGATGAAGATGGAGAAATCGCACTTCCTAGTTGTACAGCACGCGGTCAAGTGGCGCCGCAGACAGGGCGTCTGACCAAGCGTCGCTTCCGAGACCTGTCCAGGAAGAACCGGTCGCAGTACGGATCTTTCGAAACCTTGAGAAAAAACGATACAGGGTGGCAACATGTCCGAGACATGCACAAGACGCCTGTGCGATGCGGTTCACATGAGCAACTCTCCAATCGATCCACAGTATCGACATGGAGATCAGACGACGATATAACTTGATTGCCTACACTCAAACATGTAAGTTCGAAGCACCCACACGCCCAAACCAAGACTGAATGTCCGTTTTCGGTCAAATAATGTCCAGACCCTGCGCGATGAGCGAATCCGCACCTTGCTAAAATCCAGAATATCGTTGAGCAGGTTCAGGAGACCGACGGTACACTCCTTGACTTGAGCCACCCGGACTGACTGCTCCGCTTCCAAATCTGACTCCAAGATGATGTCCAGTATGCCCAACATCGCGGCCAAGGGAGTCCGGATATCGTGACTGCAAACAGTATATTCTGCCTTCATCCTCAGTTCTGATAGGCTTAAGACAGTCTGTTTGCTTCGCAAAATGAGCACAGAAAGGCGAACTCTCCATAACGAGCCAGGAAGCTCAGGTTTGCAGCATAATTTTGTGCTACATCAATACTTCGTGAGCGGCGTTTGCAGAGTAAGGCTGCCTAAGCAAGCTCAGCTGACGTGGCGGGCTCCCTGAGAGGGCTCAAAGAACTTGGTAAGCAACATATGTTTTGCTTTGTCAAGCAGCAAGACCTTTGCTTGAGTAGAAGCACTTCTTGGCGCATCCTAAGAAAGGGCCCCGCAGAAAGCTGTTAATGCGAGTTTCATACTAGGTTCAGGATGTCATCGCTCTAGGACCAATGCAGCTCGTCCAACAAACTCCGCAGGACTTTTCCCACCTCCTGATGGCCTTTGAATCGAGCGAGAAGAGTAGAGAGTCTGCTCACCTGGTCTTAGCGAAGAATTTTGTCTTGAACTCTTCCCTCGCCTCGGCCTGCCTCTTCGCCTCGAAACTCCGAAGCAGCTCCGCTTTCAACCGCACGGCCTTACTTATAGGGTCTGTCAGGTATATAATAGCAAGAAAACCCAGCCCACAGATGCCAACTGTCACTGAGCTGATGATGTAAGTGGCATCCCGCCGCTGCTCGTCAAGCTTCCCATAGACGGCCTTCCTTGGAAGAATCGTCACCAGCTTGAGCGAAAGCCCTGTGTAAGCTATATCTTTACACGCGATGCTGTAGCGCCCCCCCTGGAGGCGTGCTTGTATTGGGCCTTTGTCACAATCAGGCAACTGCGGCGGGAGAAGTGCAAACGTTTCCCTGATGAGGGGGCTACTCGACTGGCTCGCTTCGAGCAAGGTCGGTGTTCCTGACTGATTGGCCTGGCGGTAGTCGTGCACCGAATCTGCAACGAGCGTCGTCCCGTCTAGTACAAACATGTCGCCCCCTTTCAGATCAAGCCCCTCGACGAAGTCTCCGATGGCTGTCAGATACAGCGCACTGGAAATAACCCCAAGAACCATGGTGGATCCTGGCAGCGTGTAACGCTTGGCAACGACCAGAAGAGGCTGCCGTGTTGCCCCGACAAGTATCTGGACCGCTAATCCATCAGGGCTACTCAATGCTCTTCGGTAGAAGAGCCGGCTGCGGATGTCGACAGGGACGTCAGGAGTGACGTTGGCAACGAAGCTTCCATCAGCTGGAGATACATACTGCACAGACACAGAGACAAGTATGACTACTGCAAGTGCTATTTTGTTTCAGGTGCCTCTAAAAGCTGAATCATTTGTCAGGTCTCGCAAGTTAGATGAAAGCAGAACATACTGACCACCTTGTGACGAGAATTATCTCGGAAGGGCCCCAGTCGATCAAAAACCAGAATTTTGACCAATTTTGTCTGAAACAGATGGACACTGTTGCTGGGTTGCCTAAGATTAATTCTGCGCATAGTCAGCTGGTAAGGTCCCTACTGAACGAAAAATCGATGACTTCGTGCTAAGTCACAAACGAAAGAGACGAAAACACAAAGTGCTGGCTCGTTCTATGAGAGGTAGAATTGGACTATTGCCAAAAGTCGAGCTCAATGTAGAGCACCGGCCCTTAGAAGTTCAAAGGCCTTCGAAGCTCCGAACATGGCAAGCAATCTGCAAGCTTTAAGCGTGGACAAGACAAGAGCACGGCCCATTTGTACACACAGGTTCCCATTGTCAATTCCGGCTTCTCCAATTTCGCAGGCAAAACGCAGTCAAAAACAGTATACCTGTCGTCCTGTGATTGGCTCACCGTTACATAGCGTGGGGGAGCCTGGCCCTTGGGCAGGGTCTGGTTTGCAAAGGTCCACAGCAGACTTGTGTTAGCATAGGGGCTCGTTGCATTGTCAACGGAATTGACAACCACGTAGGGCCCCTCCTCCGTGGTGAGTCCCAGGCCAGAGACTGTGTTGCAGCTCTGGAACGTCTTTCTCAGGGAGGATGCTGTAAGATCCTGTTTTTGATCTACTGTCAGGTTGAGGCCTGGGCTGTGAATCAGGTCAAGATACTGCGCAAAGCTTGTGCCGCATGGTTCTGCCTTGTCCAGCAGCTGAGAGACGCTACTGGAAATATGCAGAAGGATCTCTCCTTGGTAGGAGTGCACCAGGCTCGAAAGGTAGGTCGAGGAGGCGGCGCGTGTGAAGTGAAATGTGATGGTCGTGGTACCGGCCAGCAGACTTGCCAGCAGAACCTGGGGAAAAGTCAAGATATTCAGCTTTGGTCTACTTTGAGTGATTAATCAGACTCCTTAGAAGTCAGCGGTTGGCCTCAAGTGGTGCCAATCAATGACTCAGGGCCAAAGCAAGGGAAATGCAGTAGCCTGAAGGCATTTTTGGAATGCTCCACTTCGGCTCGTGTGGTGTTCATGAAGATGAGGATTGCTCAGATTGCTGAGCATATGAAGAATTAAATGAATTGTTGCAGAGCTTCCATTGGGAGCTCAAAAGCTTGAATCTAGAGCACCACCTACACAGCGCTAACCCTGTAGTGCGACTCCATCCAGACGTCCCACGCAACCACATTGGATATCATGCCATGAAGGTGGTGAGTTGTACAGCAATTGACCTTCAGCTGCGCATAAGTTGGCTTTATGCTATACAGCCCCCAAAATTCTAAGGCTGCCTCCATTTGATCTGTAGCACATTAACACACCAATTGCGCCTCCTTAGCAATTCTGAGATTTTAAGAGAAGCATAGATTCTCCTTTTCCGTCTAGCAGCTGTGTTTTCCACATTCAGTTTCACAGCTTTGGGAACTTAATTCGGTACTCTTACAAACTTTGAAACGACCAGCTGCTGACCAGGTTTCAGATGGTTTCTATACATCAATCTTAAGGAGAAAGCGCGACAGCCAAATTCCAACTCACCATGATACCCAAGCGAAGGAGCCTAACGTCTGACCAACACTTTGCATGGCCAAACGGCAGTGCGTCCATTCTGCTGCGCCTGTTGGGTGAACTGTCATACGGCTGATCTCTGTCCATTGAATCTGAATTTAAAATCTCATGTAGAATGGACTCAAAAGCACTGGTGTCAGTCTAGTGCCGCGGAAAGGTGGTGAAAACTAAGAGGATTGATCTTTGCTTTGAAATAATGTCTGCCTAGGCCTATCAGTGATAGCCTTGTTTCTGTCGCTAATTGTATCTAGCTTGCTTCATTGGGGTTTGCTCCCAGCTAGAGTCGTTGATTGATGGCAGCAGCCAGCAGCCAGCAGCCAACAGGGCAACCACGTCTGAGAACCTGTTCTTTGATGAGTTCTCCTGGTTTAGCCAAAGAAGGAAATGCAGTTTAGCATAATGTAAGTCCTATGCTGAGCGTTCTGCAGCAATCCTGGATAACTGTGAAAGACGGCGCCCCCGGTGCAGCTTTCGCTTATCGAGTCGCGCTGTTCTGTGCTACAATCTCTTTGATCGAAGAGAATCTGAGCACGGACATTAAGCGCAAAGTCAAAAATTCAGAACCTGGACTGCTGGATGAGCAATGTCACAGTTGGCTGGACCATCTGGTCTCGACCGCCTCCCACTGAGGGCCATGGCCCTTGAAGTTCCTCATAGACTCAGGGCCAAGAGCCTCATGAGGCATGGGGCCTGGGATCGAGCAATGTGAAAGGGACCATGTGAGGAACGCAAAATGCTGAGTTTCCTGTTGTTCTAGAAGCCCTGAAGGCGGCCTTCCAGCCTGCTGATGAAATGTCGTACCTAGATACCACATGTACTGCAAGGCGTCTACCTAGTATAGCCTTTCGGATGTCCGAATTCGTTGGCCGAGGCGATCTCATTATGATTGCCGGAGCGGGCCGCGTTAGTGAGGTTCGACTCTTGAGGTGCTGTGGCACTCCACATATGACATTAAGTTCGGCCAACTCTCGTTCTTGTTCTTCTTCTTGTTCTTGCATATTTATTGCCTGCTCAGTGGCTGCCTAATCATGAACATTTTCGCAACGGTGTTTTATGAATTAATTATTCGACTTCTATCTCAACCGCAAGATCCCGTGTTAAAAGCAGGTAGGAGATTTATCACGCGTCAGGAGACAAGGTGGATCGGATATCGCTATCAGAAAAGCTCGCACGGCCAAGCCCCGGGCCGCCAACCACCGTCACATATATCCTACATGTATGTAGCCCCAGCCTCCGTGCATCTTTGGGTCCATCGGTGCCTTGACGCCGGAGCACACTGGAGGCGGCTCCTGGCCAGTCTAGGATCTGCAAAATCCGAACTACGGTATACGCCGGATAACAGTTCTTTCTCATCGACGGTAGCATCGCAGCCAACCAACCGTCCGCGCCGTCGATTCCACGCACGTGAATCTTAGTGACTAAAGCTTTTGAACAAAGTTAAACTGCTCTACATTACGTGGAACATACATGGCGGACCATACATGGTACGATCCTTGTGACGTAACCGTGCCCTACTTCTGCAGCTTTTCAGAAGCAACACAGAATCTGCTAGGGTTCCCTTTGCTCAGGCATCCTTTCGGATCATTGTCAGGCAACCACGTCGCCACCTTAAGTTTTTCTTCAATGTTTAATTCATCACCGCAACCCTCTCATTAATCTTTCACCCTCTTCCCTGAGAACCCGCATCACTCGCCTGTCAGAAAAGCTCCAAAAGCGTCATCAACTCCTGGAGGATCATGGTACTCGGGGCACCATTTAAAAAGTGCTGATGTTACCTAATAAAAACTTACGTCGTACTCTGCCGATTCAAATCCCGCGTTGCGCACTTCATTTATGGCGAGGATTCAGCCACAACCGGTTTTAAACAGGGGTTTCCTTACAGACGGTGGTCACTGCGGCGAGGGTTGGAGGGTTGCCGACGAGTCGCATTGAGTCGCTCTAGCGGGCCTGGGCACCCATCCAACTACCGCATTTGGGTCACGTCATGCTCAGCGTATGGTATGATTACGGACGATATCGTACGGCCTGGATTTGTTCGCTGACATGATCACCCTTCAATGCAGCATGCAGTGCGTGTCCCACGTGGCATACATTCTGTCAAATTTGCCTCCAAACCCCTGTCCACTTTTGTCTGGCCGTGTGTCAACAAGGTATTCGATCTGACATTGAGTTGGCTTGACCAACGCGCTGTTTTGTATTTACTGTGATTTGTTATTATACGTATTAGTTGGTCATAAGACCCAATTTCAATCTACGGTAAGACTCTGATGCTCCGCATGTCACTTTTCACATATTCCCACATGCTAAGTTTAACGTGGAAACCTTCAGCTATCTTGCATGCGCATAAAGGACCGCTATCATTATAGCCGCATGCATTTGCTTGGTCCACCTTGTGCTTTCAGTTTGAGAGATTGTGAGACGGTGATCATGGCGGACCAAGAGAAGACCTAAGGTAGCCCCCTGTGAACTGTGAATTTAGCCTCAATGACAGAGATTGTGCATTGAGCATCGGTGGAATGACTCGAGAATCAGCAGCTGCAGACACCTGTTTGCATTTTCAGTAACCTGTGGGCAGCTTTGGGAAAAAGTCCGACCCACATGCAAGGTCTTCTGAAGGAATGCACGGCGCTTGTTCGCTCAGGATCAAAATCGCAAGATCTTGTGCGGAAGGTTTCCATAAACAAAGTTTACAAT